GGGACATAAAAGCACAGAAATGATGGAGAAATCTATGAAGTTGAGCTTCAAACCAACAGATAAAGTCATAGAATCATTAGATAAAGTCTCAGAATCATTACAGATGCCCCTGAAGCTAGATCTTCAAGTACCAGAATTTGTTGATCTGACTCCAACACTAAGTGATCAAGATTCAAAATCCTCGGAGCCAAACCTACAGAAAAGCTACCAGATCCCAGAAACTCCTGAGTTACATTCTTGGTCATGGCCTCAAGGTCAAGATTTCAAGAAGTTACAGACAAAGGAAGTTACAGAAGCTGACAGAATTACCCTCAACTTCAAGAATCATGGTGTAGACAAGATAGAGCTGACTTGTGAAGCAAGACAGCAAGGGAAAGAATTTCTTAGAATGACTCCGCGGCCAGTAAATAGAGAGACTGGATTTGTAGAAAAATCTCCAAGGTCATGTCCTCAAGACTCAGGACCTCTGGAGGTGGGCTCTAAGAAAAAATCTCAAAGGGAACAATCTGTAGTATCAACACCAAGGCCATTCTCTCAGGTCCCAGATTCTGCTTCGGGAATAACACCAGGGCCAGGACCTCAGATTCCCAAGTCTAAAAATTTGGCCTCTATGCTGTGGCTGCAAAAAGAATCCTCTGAGTTATCATGCAAAGAAACCAGTCAAGTTGTGGGAAATACTGACTCTGTAGAGCTCACCTTTGGTACACGGCAGCCAGGAGGGGTAGCAGCTAAGCTAACAAAACCTCAGAATCTGAGCCTAGAAAATGCAAGCATCACTCCAAAAGAACCACTGGATCAAATGATAAATTTTATAGGGGTTAGTCCAAAGCCACGAGTTCATGTGACAGAATCTGCAAAGACACAGCTTCCAGTTCCTCAATCAGTTGTCATCCAAAAAGTCTCTGAAACTATAGAAGTGATCCCCGGACCACCACTTCAAGTTATAAAGTCTGTGATGATTCCAGAGAGTATCCCTCAAGAGTCAAAATACAATGATTTGACTCCCAAAATGCGTGATGGGATAAGGTCAGAATTTGCTCCAAGCCTTTGGCTACAAAATGTGCAACCCAAGAAATTAATCATAGATCCAACACATCAGGTTTTAGAGACAAAACGATGGCCAGGCTTTTTGATTATAAAGACTGCATTAACTCCCAAACCACTGCTTCTGATGCTAAAATCTGAAGAAGTGGCACCTGGACCATATCCTCAGTCTGTAGAACTAATAGGACTCACCACGAGATCTAGCATTAAAGGAAGAGAGGGTTTGAATTTACACCCAAGACCACATCGTCAAGACCTGGTAATACCTATGGAGTTAACTCCAAGGGCAGATATTCAAGTGACTTCTGCAGAATTAGTATTGGAGCAGACATCTCCCCTTAAGGAACCTACAGTGTTAACTCCTGAGCAAAGGCTTCAGGCTGGAAAATCTCTAAGCCTCAAAACCGAATCTCCCAAAGTAATGAAAATTGAGGATTCCAATCAAGGATCGGTGTGTCAGAATAAAGACTCAGAGATGATCACATCAGCAAAGTTACAGGCAGAGGACTACTTATCTAGGTTAATACACAGCCCTTCAATCCCATTTCTCTCAAGCGTTGACAAAACAACTGAATTAGAGCCCCTTCAGGGTTCTGGGGTGCCACAGGTTTCAAGAGCTTTTGGTATGAAAAACCTTGGTGTTGGTATTTTGCAGTCTTCAAAGTCCTATACAGACACTATTATGATAAAATCTTCATTTCTTCCGTTGGTCCTTGAAAATCGACCCTCTGATAAGACAGGGGACACCAAGGGAACCCCATATCCTGAGATCTGGAGCATGAATATCTTATCTAAGGAAGAAAGTGGAAAGGAGAAAATGGAGGAATTCCAGAGGTATTCTTCATATTCATTCAGATTACTATCAGAAGAGTTTCAGGCAGGGTTAGGGGCTCGAAGAAGCTCTATCCGTTCTTTCCTGGGCATACAACAGAATGTCTAGGAAAGTCAAGTCTGCAGGCAGCGACTACCTAGGAAATACCTCTCCAATATGCTAATGCTGGGGAACGTCCTGGGAACCACTATGGAAAGGAATGATTGTTCTCAATCATTTTTAACAGAAGGATCCACTATGGACATCTGTCAACCTATTTGAATCCCATTTGCATCTGTAAGACCACTTGTGGGATGGGTGGGACACTGATTCACAAGGTGCCCTTAAATCTTCAGACCCCACCCATTTGTATGCAGCTTCCCCCTTCCCCCACCCAGGGCTCCTGGAGTATCCACCCTGCCTCCAAGATGCTTTAACCATATCTGTGACTCTCCAGAGCCTTCATCATCTAATATCTGAAAATGGTGCCATCTTCGTGAACCGAGAGTATCTCTTTCCCAGAGCAGCTGAAGAGCAAATGAATTTGAGAGTGACAAGTGGGGTGGCACACGCCTGAAATCCCAGCACCCAGGAGCCGGAGGCAAGAGGATCACATGGATAAGGTCATCCTCAGTTACACAGCAAGCTTGAAGTCAGCTTGGGCTATAGGAGACCCTGTCTTTAAAAAAAAAAAAATTCAAAGGAGAAAATAAGTGACTACCACTCAGTGACGCCATTCTTCCTGTTTGTCCCTCACTGTGCCAGCTGTGGTCCCTTCAGGCTCTGCCACTAAAGGTTTCTGTTCTTGTAAGAAAACTTAGCTCCTTTTCCACATGTCTGATTAGCCACTTGGACTTAACACACTTCTACTTACCAAACCTAACCCAATATCTCCAAAGCCTGAAGGGAAAAGGATCATCGCACCCAATCCCCAAACCAGAGCCAGAAAACAGCCACTCCATCACCATAGCCATGACCCAATCATCCACTACAGTGGGGTAGAAGGGGGTGCAGGTGCTTCATCAGCTTTGGCTGATCACCCGCCTTCCTGGGCTGAGTCCATCATGGGCATCTGGCCCAGCTGCACCATGACAGTATCTTTTTTTTTTTTTTAAGAGATCAAAGGGTTCTATTGCCAATTTTTCCATTAGGGTATTTTTGAAATTATAGATTACAGTACCAGTTTACCCTGCAAGGAGCACAACTTTTTATTGTGTACCCCTGAGCTAGGACTCCATCTGCTACTGTCTGCACACCCTGCAAACATTCCTGAGTTCCACAATCAGTGAATTCTCCTCTCTCTACAGTAAGTGCTCTGACTGGACTGTCTTGAGTGAATCTGAGCCAGGCAGGCATTTTCATAAATGCTTGACATCCATTAAGTACCACATCTCAGAACCCCGAAGTAGAAGCTATTATTATTCCCATTTCACATATGGAGAAATTGAGGCATTAAAAATCAAGAAACTTGCTCAGTATTCCCATTTTACATTTCGAGAAATTGAGGCATTGAAAATTAAGAGACTTGCTCGGGTTTATATGTACAGTTTTTAGATGGCAGATGCAATATTTGAATCCATGTACGTTTGACTCCATAAGCTAAAATTCTAATGTCTTTAATTCTGCTGTAGGGGTTGGGGATTTAGCTCAGTGGTAGAGCACTTGCCTAGCAAGCACAAGGCCCTGGGTTCGGTCCTCAGCTCTGGAAAAAAACTCTGCTGTTGTGGCATATGTATTAATGACTTAATTCTGCCATATATAATTTAGAATTATTTTTTGAGACACAGTCTCTCTATGTAGCCCTAGAACTCTCTTTGTAAACCAGACTTGCATTGAACTTACAGAAATCTGCCTGCCCCAGCTTCTGAGTGTTCAGACTAAAGGCATGAGCCACCATGCCTGGCTACTCTTATTTTTTAAAAGAAGGTCTTGCTATGATTTCAGACTGGCTTTGAGCTCACAGTAATCCTCATGCCTCAGTCTCACAAATTCTAAGATCACAGGCATGTAACAGCACAATCAGGTAAGGACTTGTTCTTTTAGTGCTAGAGAAGTGTGTGCTCTACCACTAGCAACATCTCCTGAAAAATGCATACTTGTTTTGTATGTAGGTCTGACTGTCTGCTTATGTGTCCAGGGTGGGGGTTGTACATATAGAGGTCAGAGGTCAAATCAGTGTTTTCACAATCATTTTCTGCCTTAGTTTTTTTTTTTTTTTTTTTTTAAAGACAGAGTCTCTCACTGAACTGAAAGCTCACGAATTCGGCTAGGCTGGAGGTCTAGGACCAGAACTCTAGGGACCCACCTGTCTGCCTTCACAGCCCTGAGATTACAGGTGTGCCTGGCTTTGAGGAGGACGCTGGAGATCTGAACTCAGTTTCTCATGCTGCTGATGAGTCACTTCCTCCATGGCCAACCTTCTCATCTGTGCAGTGTTAGCCTGTCCTTTCAATTGGGAATGTCTTTCTCTCTTGTCAATCATCCTTCTCATGGCTTTTCAGTTTATAATGCTCTTTAAATCCTTTTCTTTACATCTATGGTAGGGTGGGACGTGTGGGGCAGTCAGAGGACAACTTGCAGGAGCTGGTTCTTTCCTTCCACTGTGGGGTCACAGGGCTCAAACTCAGGTAGTCAGGCTGAGTGGCAAGTACCTTAGCCACTGAGCCACCTCACAGGCCTCCCCCACCCCTCACCCCTGCCCCCTTTCTGTAAGAGTCTATTGTAACCCAGGTTGGCCTTGCACTCCTGACCCACCTACCTCCACAACTGCTGAGATTACTATCCTGTGCCACTAAGGCTTACAAGGCTCTGTTCTGTGTAGAGCTTTACTTAACATTCTCCTAAGTCGCTTACAGTTGCTCTCACTGTGGCTTTTCTTTACCAGATGAAGAAGCTAGTGTTGGAAAGACTGCATATGGTGAGGGTTAAAGCCAGAGATACCATTTGGTCAAGTCAGTGTTGGAGCTAAGCCAAGACACGAATTCTGTCCTCTTCACTCCCAAACCCAGTCGTTTATGTTTCTGGGCTCCTCTCCCAGTGCCCAGCCTCTTCTGCATCCGAAACACACTTTCACAATCCAAAAGAGAGTTCAGCTTCCGCTCTACCTTTTTAAGGGCTTATATCTAAAGCATTTATTTCATCCTGTGTAGAGCTGTGATCGTGATCTATATATGCGCCTTTCCCTCCAGAAAAAGTCTTGACGTAATGCAGGTAGATTTGATCCCGTAGAGCCTAAGTTGGGCCTGGCACTCAACTGATGTATGCGATGCAATGACAGCATTTAGCCGTCAGTCAGCGATGCACATCGACTGCAGAGCGAGCTTTTACAGTCTTCTCCAGGAGTAGAAGCTCAAAAGTGTCAACTTCTGTTCCTGTTTTTGTTTTGTTTTGTTTTGTAATGCCTGGTGGTCGGGAATGGGAGAGGCATGGGATTCCTCACCTGAGGGCTCAACAGGGTTCTCGGGTGCTTCAACTGCATGATGCAGACAACAGGCCTGCATTGGCGGCGCTAGTGGTTGACATACAGGCGACATACGTCATAAGGTCACCTAGTGGGTTCTCGAAGGTGCACACAGGACCTGGGTAAGCGCAGTGAGTCCTAGGGCAGAATCATAAGGGGATTGTTGAATTCTCTTCCCGACCAATCTCATAGCTGCATGCACACCTAATACAGAGCTCCGCCCACAAGCTTCCTCCCTCTCTGGATTGTACATCACCAAGTCCTTAAGTTTTCTTATTGTCCTACCCGGCCAGTGTCTCTATAGCTGCTCCCCTGCCTACCTGTTTTTCTTAACTTCCCTGGCAGTAGAAGGAATTAAATCACCCTATTCATCTGAGCTAGACAGTTGTGAGCCTTAAGCAGGTAAACGAGAGGTTAAAAGCCAGGGAAAAGGCCACTAAAACAGGCTCTTACATGGGCTGGAGCTTTTGGAGGGCAGCCTGTCAGAAACCTTGAGAGTTTGGAAGTGCACACGGGGCCCTGGGGGCCTCTCTTCCCAGAGGCCGATGCTCCTGACCTGCACTGTGTAGTCGCTGTCTTCAGCCAGGCCCCAAAGAGCACAGGCCCTGGTGGTGGTGTTCACCTCCCTGATTACACGCTGCCCGGGGCCATTCTGTCTCTGCAAGGAGATGTAGAGAAAGGAGGGCAGCCTAGCCCCAGTCAAAGAAGCCATGGTTTCCACTGAGTTCGCTGGAGGCTCCAGAGGCATCGATCCTGGAAGAGGCAGGAGTTGAGGGGTCAGGAGCTGCCCATCAGGCAAGAGGGATGCAGTAGCTCTCTAACAGTCTTCTCGGGGCCCACAGCCCATCTCCCCCGTGCCTTTCCCGCCTCCGCATAACCCCAGTGCCCACCCCAGCCCCCACCCGCGCGGTCTCATCAGCCCACACCCACCTCCCGGGTCCTCGTGGTCGGTCAGGGCTCGGGGGGCTGCTCGGTGCCCAGAGGGCGGCCCATAACCAGACCGGCGGTGGCCCTACCCTATCCCGACAGGAGCCCGCCAAGGCGGGCAGCGATGGCCGGGCTGTGGGGCAGAGAGGGCAGAGGCGGAGTGGCTGCGGGCGGCGGGTCTGCCCGGCCCCAAAGCCTTCCCAAGGGCAGAGGGGGGGCATTGTCGTCGAGGCCTGGCAGCTGGCCTGCGTCCCCCGTGCAGAGGACAGTGCGGCCAACCGCCACCTTCTGGAGACCTAACTGACCCCGCCCCGCCCCCGCCCCGCCCCGCCCCCCGCCCCTCCCCTCCCGGCGGGGTTCTCACCTGGGTCATCCCTTCCCCCCCACTCCCAGCCCTGTTCTTCCCGGGCTCCTTCCAGGACCCTCCCTATGGCGGCCTGCCATTAAAAATAAATCAATGTCTGGCCCTACCCCATCCCGACAGGAGCCCGCCAAGGCGGGCAGCGATGGCCGGGCTGTGGGGCAGAGAGGGCAGAGGCGGAGTGGCTGCGGGCGGAGGGTCTGCCCGGCCCCAAAGCCTTCCCAAGGGCAGAGGGGGGGCATTGTCGTCGAGGCCTGGCATCTGGCCTGCGTCCCCCGTGCAGAGGACAGTGCGGCCAACCGCCACCTTCTGGAGACCTAACTGACCCCGCCCCGCACCCGCCCCGCCCCCCGCCCCTCCCCTCCCGGCGGGGTTCTCACCTGGGTCATCCCTCCCCCCCCAACTCCCAGCCCTGTTCTCCCCGGGCTCCTTCCAGGACCCTCCCTATGGCGGCCTGCCATTAAAAATAAATCAATGTCGCCGGGCAGTGGTGGCGCATGCCTTTAATCCCAGCACTTGGGAGGCAGAGGCAGGGGATTTCTGAGTTCGAGGCCAGCCTGGTCTACAGAGTGAGTTCCAGGACAGCCAGGGCTACACAGAGAAACCCTGTCTCGAAAAACCAAAAAAGAAAAAAAAAAATCAATGTCAATGGAGCTAATAGCAGCATACCTCCTATGAGATGCTGCAAAGATTAACTTCCAAGTACAGGAAATAGAAACCTGGACTGAGAAAGTAACGTTGAAGCTGCTCTGAAAGCTAGTAGGGAAAACAGCAGAAGTCCAGAGACTAAACCTGAGGGAAAACACAGGTGGAGATTTCTATTATGTGTGCAGTGAGTGTTGAGAATGGTTTGGAGTGTTACAAACCTTCCTTCTGGGAGAGCATAAAGAGTAAGCCCCTATTTGCCCCAATATGTGCTTGTGGGTATGGGTGTAGGTTTTTTTCTTTTTTGGATTTGTGGGGACTTTTGTTGTTTTTATTTTGTTCAGTTTGCTTTTAGAAAGGGTCTTACTGTGTTGTTCAGGTTGTTTTTTAAACTCCTGGCTACAAGTGAGTCCTCCCAGCCCCACCCCTCTTCCTAGTAGCTGGCATCGCAAGCACACACTGCTCCATCCAACTGACCCAGTATACTCTTTTATAGTGTTCAAAATATTGAGTCTTATGGAACAGGGGTAGATTTATTTCTGACTTAGACCTTTTACTAACATAATAAAGAACTTGGAGAGTCCTGACGTTATCTTGCTAAGACTCTGAAGGGAAGTTTGGTGAACTAGAAGCCATTGTCAAAAGTACCAGAGAAAATCCCTGCGCTCTTGCCCTTGGAGCCTCTCCTCCAGTCAGTTTCCTCAGTCAGTTCTTTTGCATAGACCTCAGCTCTTTTTTCACCAGCCTGGATTATGATTCTGATTTCTGTTTTGCTATCTGGACTAAGAGGCATTCTACTCTTAACTCACTAGTTTAATTTTGAGATATATCCATGGCTAGCCTCAAAAGAGACTAAGTATTGTATCTGTAGTAACAATATAGCTTATATTGTTTAATAAAAATGCTTTTCCAAGTTTTTAAACTTCTTAAATTTAAGTTTACTTCTCAGTAGATAGCTTTTTAAAAAAATTTTGGTTTTTATTTTTTTTTTTTTGAGACAGGCCAAGAACTTGCTGTATTATTGCTAACCTTGAATTTTCCAGGATCCTCTCAAGTGCTTGGATTACAGGCCTGCACCACAACACTTGGCCAATATTTTTTTCTTTATGAAAGTAGTACATGCCAGTTGCTGAAACTTAGTAAGATAAAAATATATTCCAAGTCTATCTCCCAGTGACAAATCATTTTTAGAATCTATTCCATGGGTATGTGTGCATGCCTGTATGTGTGTGCTTGTATGTGTGCCCAACAGCTGAAATTGAGAACACAGATTTTTGTTGTTTAGGATTTAGGCTGTTAGCTTTGTAAGTATAGCAGTCTCATTAAGCCTGCATTTTTTTCTTTAAACAGTAGAGATTTGCTGGGTATGGTGGTACATACCTTTAATCCCAGCACTCAGGAAGCAGAGGCAGGCAGATCTTTATAGGTTCAAGAGAGGCAGGCAGATCTTTATAGGTTCAAGGCCAGCCTAGTCTACACATCAAGTTCCAGGACAGACAGACAAACAGTCAAGGCTAAATAGGAAAACCTGTATCCCCTCTCCACCCCCCAAAAGGTAGACTTTTGGTTTTTCAAGACAGGGTTTCTCTGTGTGTACCCCTGGCTATGCTGGAGCTCTGTAAACCAGGCTGACCTTGAACTCACAGAGATCCATCTGCCTCTGCCTCCCCAGTGCTGGGATTAAAAGAATTCACCACCATCACCTGGCTAAAAGGTAAATATTTCATATAATATTTATGCTTAGAGCTATAAAGACAAAGAGGTAATATGTAGTTAATATCACAGCCACAGTCAACCTTATCTTTGGATAAGTTTAGTGAGGATCTGCTGCCCTGAACTGCTTAGAATGAAGGAGCAGACTGGAGCAATTACAGAGTCTCTTTTACAAAATAGTTATAATTTAATTAAAATTTTTGTTTTTAACATTTATAAGCAGCTTATGAAACTGTTTAGTGAACTCTCCTTTAAAATGTAATTAAACCAATCAAAACAAGCCTTAAAAGTTAATTTATTTTGGGCTAACCTCGAGATAGGTAAGCATATGTGAGCCTGAGACTCCTAGTATCTTGAAACAGTGGCATCAGTGATAAAAATGTTACCATGGTAACATGGAAAAACATGTAGTATAGGGTTTGGCACCTTCATCATATTTCTAAAATTAATTTTTAGTGGACGTACAAAGTAATGAGTCTCATCATAAGATCTTCATACATGTCATTATATAGTTTCTTTGTTTCCTCCCACTGTCTTCTTTTGTACCCCTCCCTCAAGCTGATTCCCTTCCTTCTCCCGGTTAGTTCCCTCTTCTGCTTTCTATTGCTGTAACCCTTCACCTGCTTCCAGAAGTGAGGTTTTGCCCCATGTTAAGGCACCACGTTTAGTATTGAATTATTTAAGATCCTGGCCCGGGGTTTCCACCCCACCTTTGGTTATTGAGTTCCTGGATGAAAGACACACACAGCCTTTATATTTTCAGTAAGCCTTAATCAGCAAGGTAATCCTCCACAGGCCTGGTCAGAGCCTGGTGCCTCAGATGATTCTAGAGTCTGTCACGCTGACAACTTATATAACTTGCTGGGAAAGAAATAAGGAAAAGGATCTCATTCTGTTCCTTTAAATGTCCAAATAGTCTTTTACTAATGTGTGGCTACATTTGCTTAACCATTTTTTGATAGACATTTGAGTTGTTTGTACCTTTTTGGTCACTGTGAGTAGAGGTACTGTAAGAAGTTGTGTACAGGTTTTTATGTGGACATGTTTGTTTCATTTCTTTTAAGCTCACCCTTAGAGTTGAATTGCTGATTTCTGTGACAGCCTTTTAAGGAGCTTCCACATTGTTTTCTAAGTCAGTAAAAACGTACTCCCACAAGCCGTGTATGAAGGTTCTACTTCAGGAGAGTATATTTTGTACTGCTGGAGAGCCACTACACAGAATCATATGAAAGTAACTACTGAAAATTACTGGGCTATATATTGGTCTCCATTATGGTCCAGGATACCAAGTCATGAGCCTTTTCCTGATGGATCGTCAACCAAATTTACAATTCACCTTGATAGTTCTCAGGGCTACTGTTCTTCCACCCCTTCCCAAATATTTTTGATATTTGCATATTGCTATTTATTATGAATCTAATTTACCGAGGCTTATTGAAAGTTAGAGTTCATAAACTAAAATTACTTAGGTTTTACTGAAGACTAACTTTTTAAAAGATTCTCATCTGTACAGTGTTTGCCAGCATTGAACAATTCCTACTATACATACCCATATGTGGATAGACACTGCATCATTGGCATTGTCTTGAGTTGGCTGTTTCCCCACTACCCTTGAACTAATATAATTATAAAATAATACATACTGGAATGTGAAGACGATCAAAAAATATAAAGTCTTAAACATTTTATACTGATTATATACTGGAGTTATCATTGTCGAGATGAGCTAAAATATTAACACCAATTTCTGATGTTTCTTTTAAGAAAGGAATAGTAAACAGAAAAGACATTTTAAAAATTTCCTGTAGAATAATACAAGATGAATGTATGAAAGATGCACAGTTTAGGGCCCAGTGGATCAGGCCTTCAGTCTTAGCTCTCAGGAGGAAGATCAGGAACCGAGGTCAACCCTTTCTTAAGTTGCCTTTGTCAGGGTATTTTATCACAACCACAGTGAACTATGACATAAGTCTTCAGGTCATCCCATTGTCTGCTTAATGAATTTTCATACTTCATATTAGGTGCACCTTACATGTGTTGTACACAATAGTATCATCTTCTGTGTCCACCTTAGATTTTGAGACAGAGTCTCCCACTGAACCTGGAGAATGTCATTCCAGACACCCGGGATGCATTTCCTTATCTCCAGCTCTGTCCCAGCACTGGAGTTTCAGGCTACACTGCCATGCCTGGCTTGTACGTGGGTGCTGGATGTAAACTCAAACTCATCTCCTCATGCTTGTGCAGCAAACAGTTCACCCACTGAATTATCTCCTCAGCCCAATGCGGCGTGCTCTTGTCACTACACTTGTTAGTAAGAAAGTTTAGTTAAGAGACAAGAGCTTAGAGATTCCAAATGTCTTTCCAAATTAAGCCAGAGTTAGGGGTTTGTATTTAAGCCCCATCTTGTTGGAATTATGCCATCGTGCTATAGTGAGAGACTTTATAGATGAAATCCAATTTAAGATATTTGGTAATATTTATTAAAATTGCAATGTTCATACACTCTAAGCCACTTCCCATGTGTACTATTTATCTTTGGAAAAATCATATAAATGTACACA